CACCTTGAGTGGCAGACGCTCAGGGATCTGGATCACGCTTGGTAGACCCTTTTCTGCATTCACGTGCCAACATTTCCCAGTTCAGAGAAGCCAGAGAATCTTCTTTCATGGGAAAGCAGCAGTTCCCAAAGCTAGAGAGAGCTCCTGGCACAGCTTTTGAAGGTGGTATCAGCAGCGGTGCAAGACTAGGAATTACTGGAAGGAGGGAATTGGAATCTGGAGAAAAATCGGAGAACATCTGCTCTTGTTTGCATTGGTAGTACCGTCCAAGTATTATATAAAATACAAAAATAAGAGAAACTGAAAGGAAGTTAGTACAGCCCAGGATTCTGGTGGTATCAAATCACAAATGAAATTTTTGATACCAAATCCTTTTGATGTATTTATCCCCTTGCGATTCAGTTCCCTATATATTATTCTATATATAAGATATAGTTTTCCAAAGATACATATATATTCCTTTACAGGTTAAATAAAAGCAAGTCCCACCGAATAAGAAAATAAGAGGAAGTAATGTCCTAATTCTCTACCCATATCTTTTTTTTTTTTTCATTTATTTTTCAGGTAAAAATAGCATGAAATACATTCAGTAGCAAAGCAGTTGGAATCCAGGAGAAATGGGGAGCCCTGTATTCCTGGAGGATTAACCTGTACGTGTTAAGTCACGATCCTGAAATAAATTACGTAGACTTCTGACTTGGGAAAGATAGGATCTTGATCAATGCTGAGTATTATTTATCCAGTTTCAAATTCTTTGAATTTTGCAAAAGCCATCTATGGATTAGCCCAGTTTTAAAGACTGCTGTGATGTACATCTAACCTAACTTGAAAGGTCCAAACTCAAGTTCTTCATTGTGTCTCCCCATAGTATTATTACTTGGAAGGAGGTAATGGGACACCTCCCAGTAGGATATTAGCATAATAGATGGAAAAATAATTTAGTTCAAGCCTTTGTGTTTGCAAGAAGGTGCTGCCTGGCGCTGTGTGTACTCAGAGCCCCGGGCACACCTGGCATCACACATCCAGTGATGCCAGCTGTCTGCAGAAGGGCTCGCTCTGCAGGGTTCGGCTGTGGCAGCGGCGTGCCAGTCACCCACAGCAGTCCCTCAGTCCGGAGAGAACAGTGCCCTGATCTTCACATTCAGGCAGTAACAGGCACTATGGTTTTCTCTCCAGCAGCTGGAAGAAAACCAGCATTGTAAAAGTGTTTCTGTTTCCAATGCCAAAGGTATTTGGGCTTTAATTAGATTATGCAGAAGTATGCCAATTATCCCTGAGTCTAACAGTAAATCAAAATAAGAGGGACAGTTCTCCCACACATACAAGTAGTTTCAGGGATTTCACTGCAACTACTTAACGGAAGGGAACAGCCCTACCGTTATCCTGTGGAGAAAACATGAGTTATACAGCTTCCGAGTTTTGATACTTCAATGCCAGTAAATTCCATTTTTACTTACTCCTAAATGGCCACATTCAGTTGGTCAGTGAGTGACACGGTGACTCGGAAATCAATGGGATACTTCATGCCTTGTCAAGGGGCTGAATTCTTGCTGTTCTCCACTTCCCTTTTATCTCCCTCTCCCCTTGTAAATGGCTGGTTTTGAGTTGTTCTTAACACAATGGCACGGACTAAAGCATCTATCTTAACAGAGATTTCAAGGGCCAACCAAGAGAAGTCCTTTAAAACATCTAACAAGGAAAAAAAAAATGCTTACTCATGTAAGCAATTCAACTGAGCTGTAGCAAATTATGTACTAATTAACAGGCAGGACAAGGATGTGTCTGTCAGCTGGCAGCACGTTCCTGAGCCTGGTTTTACTAAACATCAACGCATACAGACCTCAGGGATTTTTCAGTTTCTTGGATTAATACCATACATAATGATTTCTATTTTACTGTTTTCGGCTCCCTCTGTGGACATTTAGAATTTGTTAAACTAAGTGAAATAAGTCCTATTACTTTAGAATATTAAGTTTGAGTCACAAAAGATAATACAAGACTAGTTGACAGATGTACCATGTAACTAAATCAGCCTTGCTTCATTTATCCTGTAAAGTGTTAACAGTCAAAGTAAAAACAACTTATTTTTAAAGTGAAAAAAAGTACTTTTCTTTTTTTCCATATTGGGCATCTCAGGAACAGATTAGAATCCAACAAGATAAAACAGTTGTACTAAAAATATTCTTTGGAGGTTCGTCCCTAATCAAAGTAAAGGCTTTATTTCAGAACTGTGCATTCTCAATAAAATTAAAAAATATGATTTAGTTCCACATACATATTTATAAAATTCAAATTACTTTTAGTATAAGTTTAATGTGGACACATAGTTTAATACTGAGTCAGCAAAAAATTACTGATGGCTCCAGACTTAGGAGCTATGTTAACTGTTTCAGCACCACATGAAAATTCAGTTGCAGTGAGACTTTGAGGATGTTTCCT